TACTTTGGACATATTGTCAGGAGGGACCAGTCGCTGGAAAAGGATATCATGTTTGGTAAGGTGGAGGGTCAGAGAAAAAGAGGAAGACCCCCAACAAGATGGATTGGCCAAGTGTCAGCATCGATGGACTCAAGTGTGGCAACAGTAGTGAGGTTGGCCCAGGATCAGGCAGTGTTTGTTCTACTGTGCATAAGGTTGCTATGAGTTGGTACCGACTTGATGGCACCTAACAACAACAAAAAGTTGCTACAAGAAACCTGGTATTTTTTTAAATCTACATGTTTTGAAGGTAGAAAAGATAAATTGGAAGATGGGCACCAAAAAACAAAACCCATTGCCATTCATTCAATTCTGACTCGTAACAACTCTAAGTGCCATCTAGTTGGGCCTCACTCATAGTTACCCCGTATAGGGTTACTAAGGAGCTACTGGTGGGTTCAAACTGGACATGTTGACAACAGTTCAGTTCTAATCTGACAGTGCTACACCGGGACTTCATAGGACAGATTAAACTGCCCAATAATTCTTCAAAAGTTATAAATCTTTATGGAAGCAAATTGCCACATCTTTTTCCCATGGAGTCCATGAGTTCCAACCATTGACCTTTCCAACCTTTCTATCTGCTACTGATTTATTAACCATAGCCCAACCAAGACTCCTGAAAGATGGCAAAATGTCCTGAAAATTAAGCAGGTTAAGTCGAAAATGGAGACTACTTTCTCAGAAAGGCAGGGAGGTTTGGTATCAGTGAGAAACTGGGATCTTCCTTTTTTTAAAAGAAAACTTGTGAGTTTTTTCCCACTTTATATTTGGCTTAACCAGAGTAATCCATGTTTACCTTTTCCTCCTTCCCAGCTTGCTTGTCAGCGGTCACTTTTACAGCTGAAGTTAACAAATGATCTCATTCTTCCTATTAGTGACAGCCTTTAGCCTTTAACAAGACTGTTCAACATTGACCATCATTAACCAAATCCTAATTAGGCAAATACTGCCTCCCAGCCTCACCGGATAAAATGCTTGCTCTCCTATTATTAATCAATATGCTCACTCAAGGAGCCTTTGTAGCACAGTGGTTAAATGCTTGGCTGTGAACCAGAAAGTTAGGGGTTCAAACCCACCAGCCATTCTGGAGGAGAAAGATATGGCAGTCTGCTTCCATAACGATGTAGTCTTGTAAACTCTGTGTGTGTGTGTGGTGTGTGTGTGTGTGTGTTGTGCGGGGGTGCGGGCCGGCAAAGATTTGTGCTCTTCCCCATTTGGTTGCTATAAATCAGAGTAGAGGACGGCGGCGGGGAAAGTGGCGGACCGGAAGGCTTGAGAGGAGAAACCCGAGAATCCGTAACAAGCTTGAGCCACTGGAGGACCTGAAGAAGCAGCAGCAGAAAAACCTGTGAAAACTAAGACTGTTTCTTCCAGTAATGGAGGGGAAAGTTCCAGTCGGAGTGCAGAGAAGCCATCAGCTGAAGACTTCCTAACAAAGCCTACACAGATCTCCAAGTTTGGATTTGCCATAGGTAGTCAGAGGACAAAGAAAGCATCAGCCATATCCATGAAATTTGAATCAAGTAAGCCTAAAGAAACAGTTCCAACTCTTACTCCAAAAACTCTTCAGTAGCAGCAGCTTTTAGTGAAGTGATCCAGAGAATATGCCTCAAGAAGTGAAGATGAAGATGAAATATATTGGAAGGAATACACCAACATCAGCAGGACCAAACTCCTTCAACAAAGGAAAGCATGGGTTTTCTGATAACCAGAAGCTATGGGGGTGAAATATAAAATCTCATCTTGGAAATGTTCATGACCAAGACAATTAAATGATGTGTTTTATGATTTGGGGGTGTGGAGTGGGTGTAAAGTTAAAAGGAACAGTTTCCTTTTTTTTTAAGGAATGGCATAAGACTATATTTGGAGACGCTTTTTTCCCCTCTCTTTCTTTCTTAATTAAAGATGGAGTGGTACACTAATAAATGAGAGTTTGAAATTAGAGGTAATTTATGTTTTATATGCAGATTTCAGGAGTCCTGGTGTGGCACTGTGGGTTAATGAGCCAAACTGCAAAGCCGTTTGAACTGCAAGGTCTGTGGTTCAATCTCACCAGCTGCTTTCTCTCGGAAACCCTATACAGGGTCACTATGGGTCAGAACCGACTCAAGGGCACTTCACAACAACAGCATTAGCACATTAAGAGGGAA